TAATTTAATTTCATACTTAATAAACACATTTTTTTTAAGTTTATTAGGTTTTAAAATTATAGATAAATTAATAAAAAATAAAATTAATTAAAAATAGAAATTAGATTTGATGTTCAAATAATAATTATTTTAAAATAAAAAATATAATTTAATTTCATATTTAGTAAACATATTTAGAGTTTATTAGGTTTTGAAATTATAAAAGTTCAAATAATAATTATTTTAAAATTATAAATAAAATAAAAAAATTTAATTTAATTTCATACTTAATAAACACATTTTTAAAAGTTTATTAAGTTTAAAATTATAGATAAATTAATAAAAATAAAATTAATTAAAAAATGTAAGTTAGATTTGATGTTCAAATAATAATTATTTTAAAATAGAAAAATATAATTTAATTCCATACTTAATAAACATATTCTTTTCAAAAAAATTATTAGGTTTTAAAATTATAGATAAATAAACTTTATAATTTTTTTTTAAGGTATAAGTAATTTGTGTTTTTAAAATATAAATTTTCAAATAATGAGTTTAAATAATAATTATTTTAAAATTATAAATAAAATAGAAAAATATAATTTAATTTCATACTTAATAAACACATTTAAAAGTTTATTAGGTTTAAAAATTATAGATAAATAAATAATTTATAAATTTTTTTAAAAGGGTATATAAGTAATTTTTGTTTTTAAAATATAAAATTTTAAATAATTAGTTCAAATAATAATTATTTTAAAATTATAAATAAAATAGAAAAATATAATTTAATTTAATACTTAATAAACACACTTTAAAAGTTTATTAGATTTTAAAATTATAGATAAATAAATCATTTATAAAAAATAAAATTAATTAAAAATGTAATTTAGATTTGATGAAATAATAGTTATTTTAAAATTATAAATAAAATAAAAAATATAATTTAATTTCATACCTAATAAACACATTTTTAAAAGTTTATTAGGTTTTAAAATTATAGATAAATACATAAATAATTTATAAAAAATGTAAGTTATATTTGATGTTCAAATAATAATTATTTTAAAATTATAAATAAAATAGAAAAATATAATAGAAAATTATAATTTAATTTCATACTTAATAAACACATTTTTAAAAGTTTATTAAATAAAATAGAAAATTTTAATTTAATTTATATAAGTAATTTGTATTTTTAAAATATAAAATTTTAAATAATTAGTTCAAATAATAATTATTTTAAAATTATAAA